GCGGCTATCTGTGGTCAATTCCCCGCACAATGCTAGTTTCGGTAGACTACTTCCAGGATATAATGCATAACCTTCAGTTGGTTAGTGTCGGTTGCTAAGCTTCAAATTGCCGTGCGAGAGTAGCAAGTTTGTATCGTGCTTGCGTGCACGTATCAGTGTCCTGAGGAATATCTTCTCACAACCACCGTACCCAACTCGACCGAGCATCAATAGGGGTGGTGGTAACCTGGGTCGTTGCCACAGTAGAATTTCCAATACAACGTCCGTCGACCAGCGGGGGCTCGATTCTTTCTTGATGCAACATTAATCCAAACTTCAGGTGATTTCTGATTTTTCTCCCTATAGAGACAGTCCTTTATTAGTCTGTTCTGAGGCCAAGGTAGGTATTTGCCCCCAATATCGCTGTCTCATTCAAGACGAGGATAAGCCTTTTTAGGAAGCACGAGACGATGAGTTCGAGCGAGCTTCTCACAGTTCCAAAAACTAGCAGGGCACGTCTTCGGCAAGAGCGGCAGGCCCACCCGGTAGACTTCTCGTAGCCGTGTTTACCCAATTCGCGGACAGCCACAAAAACCATGTATCACGGACGCAACGACTGGCCCCTCACTCTTCACGAAGAAGAGGGTCCCCCCGAAAAACCACGTGGGATGATGACGGTATTCCCAAGCAGTATAATCGAGACGACGTCCGCCTCTTCTGCGAGCGTGCAATCGAGGCTGTAATGAGATTTCGTAAATTCGACGACTTTGGATAAGTGTGATACGTCGGTGTCAATCAATCCTCCAGGGAAGATTTTAATATCTATTCTGATATTCTCCGGACTCATTACGTTCCCTAGACGCACGTCTTCACAATAAGGAAGACGGAAAGGCAGAGCGGTGACTCCTTCCGTTGTATTGAAGCCCTTGCTCAGCAAACGTGATCTATATCTCGTGGTCCGCATGCATCGCTCCTAGTTCTTGAACCCATAGAGACGCGTTCGTTGGGCCCTTTGCCGTGGCAACTCACGGTGTATTTGTGGTAGTACCTTCTGACTATCTTGACTTCATAGTTGACACTCGGCACTCAGTTTCTAGTTCTTGAAAACCCGCGAATTCTTGATACTTGAAAGCCCGGCAATCCTGGTTTTTCAAAGATTGAGATTGCGATCAGATTCACGTGAATGTTGAATTGTGGTGTAACGCATCTCTCACATTTCTTCATCCTTCTTATCCCTCTAAACGTACTTATAGTCTCTAGGTCTTATCTGTTTTCGACGCCTGAAGTCCCAGAATACGGCTAGCAAATGCTTCAGAGAAGGCCTGACGACGATCTCAACAATCACTTAGTATGTCCAGTGCCCACTGAGCGACAGAGGTCGCGATTTATCAATCTTTCCGCGTTGTTCACGGTACAGGGTTCCCTTCGTTCTCTGCTCTCGATCTCTCTCTTGATCACGTAGAGTTCGCGCCGTTGTTTGGTGTTCTCCCATCCATTTGAAGGATCGGACAGTAGATCAATATCTGGGTTCCATTTGATCGTTATTGGCGTAGAGTCGACTATCCTTTTTAAGACCACTGTACATATTGTCTGGATCCCCGGATCCTAGGCTCGTGACCAGCCGTTCTTTCAAACTCCGCGCTCGTTTGCAAGAACGGCTGGTATGCTCTGTTTCGTTTTTGGCGGGTCACGCATTTGTGACAAGGGACTTAGAGAAATTACGCAGGATTACACCCTCCCACAACCACCCTCAGCGAGTACCCTCCTCCTACATTTCTCGTCTCGTACGACTAATGAAGCACAAAGCTTAAAGCCTCGCAATGAACGACATGTCTCAGAAAATCACACTTGCACCGCATCGAGACGTTCGACAACGGCTTCTAATACCTGCCTGGACAGCGCACTTGGAGCTGGTTTTTGAAGCATCGCTGGTCCTCTGCCTCGATAGGCTTTCTTATCAACATCTCCGAGGCTCGAAATCCGTCTTCGGCAAGCTCTGGACTATCTAGTTCCATTTTTGTGCTCAGTTGATGACGATGGAGGATGTATACCCCATTTTCGTGAGTATTTCTCTAAAGAACTATTTTACCCTTGGGCTCTAACAATCCTCTAGTGTACTGTTGGCGCCAATGAGGCGCGGATTTGACCGCTCGCCGCAGGTTTCAACACCAGGGTCATGCCCAAGAATACCTTTATCTTCCCAGAACGCCGTTCAAATCCCGCAATCTTTCTCTTCACGGCACTCCTCCAGTCACTCAAGGTAACCATGCACAAATTACAATACCCATCAGAAGCATGCCTTTCCGCGATACAGTACTACACCCAGCACTCAGGTCGTTGGCTTGTTAGGTGTCACGTGTGACCTACATCCACTCCAGTGCGGCCTTGTTCAACACAATTTTTACAATAATTTGGTCAGTTCGCAATTTTCCTACTTATCGTGCTACCAGAGACATGTACTAGCCACTACAGACCAGGTATATACATTTTTGACGTATCGCTGTGTGTGAGGAAGACTGAGGAATGTTTTTTGTGCTCGCGACAAGTGTCAGTCAACGAAATTTGGCTAAGTCCTGCGTCACAAATGGTCGACCCGCCAAAATCGAAACGGAGCGTACCAGTCGGTTGGTGAATAACCACATTTCACACTCCGCTCCGTTTCATCACCGGTTCCGGGTTGTTCACCGACCGACGGCTTGCGAGTCTACCCGGATCCAACTGTACCTTATCGTTATCCCATAGTTGATCCATTCCTTGATCACGGAATATCCTTGGGATACGGCGTACCCTTCCTTTGTCTTGTGTAATGCGAATGCATACCGTTCAGGAAAGTAGACATAGGATTCATCGGCTTTGAGATGACAAGTTTCATGGGGAGATTGGTCTTATGAGTGTTAAAACAGAAAAATATTATTTCTGACCCGCGCCCCCTTTTGAGACCTGCCCCGCCGTGTTTGGGGTTCCCCGCGCACACTGAGAGAGGGCGCGGCACATTCACATTTCCCCAAACATGTCACGTGGCTAGATTCCCACACCAACGCCTACTTATTTTCAAGCACAATGCTGCCTCTCAGAGGTCAGGCATAGTGATCTAAGATAAAGTAAGTAGACAGAATGCTAGTTATAGGCCACTAGGATATATATACAAATTATCTAAGGTTTATGAGTGGTTGAAAATCCTACATGACTGATATTAGTGCTTATCTACCTTAATAGTAGCAAAGCTACACTGGTATTGCCGGTCTTGAGTGTATTCCCACTGTTCAGTGCTAATACCTGGAATACCTCTTGTAATAACTATGATACTGGTCATATGTTACATGCTACTCAAGCAGATACAAGTAAAAGAACCGGTCAAAAGCAATTGACCGAGGTCTGTGCCACCAAACACATCCCCCAGCCTTTGGCTGCCCTCTTTTAGCTACAGCCCATTGTTCTCTTTGCTGTTGTTCCCATTCTTCCCTCACCACTGCCACAGTTGGATGCCACCAACCGCTTTGCCCAGTCTGCCATTTGCCAGGGGGTCCACGAATCAAAAAAAATGACCAGGGGTCAATTTTTTCTGAGAAGGGTCTGAGCAAGGCCACCCCCCCCTCCCCCCTACGTAAACTTCCATATATGGTAAGTACACGTGATGTATGTTCTAGAACCATTGCACATAAACATGGTATTGATTGTTCCGCCGCTTTTATTTCTCAAATTCTCGGCTTTCTATTTATTTTCCTTCGCTTTTCTGCATGCCCTTCTACCCAAATGTTGTCTCCACTTATCCAGACCTCCTGTCCCCACTTGAACCCTCTCCCTACATGACCGTTGGTTGAGGAGGAAGCGAGCCAAAAAAAGACCTTGTCAGTTCGACACTGAAATTTGCAAGTCTATTACTCAATAGAAGCTCAGGATTGAGGTGCAGGACCCTTAATAGGCAGTTGATCTGGGGGGGTCTATTTTTTTTTCTGGGGGGGTTGGACCCCCCCCCACCCCCACCCCCTGGTCAGGGATTCAAATTGGCGGAGCCCCTTGGCCATTTGTATATATGTGTTGCCTCAGTGACGGTCTCCTTTCTTCGTGTCCTTTCTTTCTCGCATCTCACATCTGCTTGATAGCCTTTCTTCAAGGTTTTCTTTTGCACCCACCCTTCCACGTTCCCAATTCTCTAGTTTCTTCTCTTAGCTACAGTCTTGTACCTTAGGTAGTACTGCGCCTGTGCCGGCTTGAGCTTTGGCCCCACTCCGGGTCCAGTGCAAGAGAGCTAGGGCGCCCAAACATTGTTTGTTCCCAAACCCGCTCGCACCTGAGCCCTCTCACATCCCACATGAGATAGCATAGATACTAGAACTACGAATTATGTTCCTTTGTCCTCAGTGGCAGATCGGCAGAATCCGAGGAGCTGAGCAGCTGTGACAGGTGGCTTGTCGCGCAAGCTCACATGCCATTTGATCGGACTTGTCGGCCCAGGCCCCACCACTTGTATTCATTGCATCCTTTCCTCGTACATTACCTCAAGAAGTAGTATTGCTTCGAGGTATCTTTGTATCTTCCAATACTTACAATATCCTTGTAGCTTTACTGATGGCACTAACAACACACTGTGCTCAGAAGTCGGTAAGCGCTGGTGTGGGAACCTCCCCACGTGACGTGTTTGGGGAAATGTGAATGTGCCGCGCCCTCTCTCAGTGTGCGCGGTCAACCCCAAACACGGCGGGGCGGGTCTCAAAAGGGGAGCGCGGAGCAGAAATAATATTTTTCTGTTTTAACACTCATATGGTCTGGGTGCCTTCATACGCCGCGCAGGGTTCAGCCGTCACAACGGGATTGTTCTTCCACCTTCCAGTCCGACTTCTAAATAATGGCCGCCAGGTGAGATGGCATCGCGTCCGACTGCGACAATGGCGAATGAATGTTGATTTTCTCATTGCGGTTTAAGCCAGTACGATCCATGTAATACCCCCTGTTTCTTGCAGTCTGAACCAACGGCTCTCACTTATCCTCAAAACAAATCAACTCAAAACATATTGCTGCCATGATTCGACCCAGGCTCGAACTGGGGACCTTCTGTGATACGATCATCCTCAAACCTGCAATGTAAGACAGATGCGATAACCAACTACGCCACCGAACCGGGTGATAGAGAGGTCATTGTGGTTGTTGTGACCCCCTTCGATTAGATGCGAACTGGCATTCGTCGAAAATACAGTGTATAATGAGATAGACTACGGAAGCGGGGGAGAAGATGGCCAAGACAATCGCTCGTATTTGCGATCGATCAACATGGAATAAGCTTCGTGGTCGAGTAAGAGATATCGATCGAGCGGTCTTCGAGAAGTAGTGGCGTTATCGGATAAGTCAGGCTGGAGACGTGAAAGGACAGGATGCATGACAGTAAGTATTCGGTCCGATTGGGAGTACAATCACGTACAACTGTCAGGCCTGGCGGGGCTCGGGAAGATAAACCAGAGAGAAACCTACCCACCTCTACTAGGCTCTTCCATCACCAACAGACTCGTGGCCATCCCGAACTTTCTTCTTTTCGAGGAAAGTCGAGAGGAAATTTGGAAACATCCTTGGGCCCCTAAGATCTGGTGTGGTATAAAAATACTGCAACCTAGCAAGCACCGAAACGCGAGGGCAGTACATCAACGATACGCCCGACGGCCTTGAGCCAACGTTCAGAAGGTACATAGACGAGGGAACAAGACAGACCTGAACTCGAGTGTCGGAGATTGTCGAGGAGAAGGTGAAATGACGGAGCTTAACACTGAGGCGAATAGCTAGAGAGATGGCGGTATAGAAATGGCAGCTTGCAGGTAGAAGATAAAACCGACTTCCATCATGACTAAATGTTGGTGCGAACACAATCGAATCGACATGACTGACGAGGCCAGGGAACGGCGAAAGCACCTCTACACGTCCCGGCTTGGAGGAGTCGTGATCAAGATGAGGAAGGCTGCGGATAGATGAACAACAAGGAGATGGCCTGCGGTTAATTGGAGAAGTCATAAGTACCATGAAACCTAAATCAAAGCAGGTACGAGCTTGGGTATCCCGACGAACAAAGAGCAAGCGTAGCGGGACGTCAAGTTGGCCATGGGCCAACGTCCAAACGACGACTAAGCGCCCTCGGGGAGACTGAAGTGCGGATAAATGTATATCAGACAAAGAGAAGCGCGTTCTGAAAGCAATGGGGGGCCCGAAAGAGGTGAATCCCGACTATAAAAGCAGACCAACGACACAGCCGACAGTCGCCCCAGAGTCCAGAGAACACCAAAAACCTCCACAGTCAAGGTCGAATGCGAACTCAAAATTCCAAAACGTAGCCTTGTGCGTATTCGAGGGGTCTCTTCGTTTCCGGTTACGAGTTTCTGAGAAAGAAAAGAGGCGTTGTGAGTGTGTTCAAAAGATAGAAAAGCAGAGAACGCACCAAAGACCCAATACTCAATACTCGTTATGCGGCCAGTCTATTATACGTGTCGTTGTTCTATTCGATGATCCAAGATGAGAGTAGGCAGCAGGGACCTTCATAGATGCATAATCGGGTTAGTGATCAGAGCAAGTGAGATAACAGAATGCCTAACTTACGTGCTGAGCACTGGTGGTGGTTATGGGGAGAAGGGAACGAATGGAGGGTGAAGTGAACATGCTGGTCGGAGATTGGTCGGACGAACCGCACGGACCAGCTTGAGGGGAGCCCATACAAGACATTAGTAAGCAGGCACGGGTCTTTTGTCTCAGTTGCATGGATACAATAAGTTTTCATCGCTCTTACCTCGAGAGTCGATAGGTTGACTGGAACCGAAGTCACCTTTTCGAGGCGCAATGAACGACGGGATCCCATCAATCGATGCAACAGATTCCCTCATGAACGCCATCTTAACCGTGCCCTTGGCACAATGTGGATCTCGACTCATCAAGCACCCGGCTCTACTGAGATCTGGTTGATGATAACTCTACTACAACACTCATAAATCAACTCGGGAGGCCAGCTGGCAAGCGCGACCGCTGGCTCGATCGACAACTACCATCTACGTCTCAAGGATTTGACCATTTTTTGTCCACAGACGTTCGGCACAGGCTGCTAAGCATGCGCATTACACTCCTTTGCTCTGTCTTGGCCTTGTGAGTCGTCGATACATCCATACCCCTGACTCTTTCCTGACCTCACATAGGTTAATCTTCGAGGATACCAGTGCTCTGCACATATCCTTCTCATCCCCACCAGCAGCAGCCACCACGGTATCCTTTGAATGGACTAGGGAATCAGGAGACCGTGAGGATGCATGGCTTAGGAAGCAGAAGTTGGATGATGGCCCCGGAATGGGTCTCTCAGACCCTTTTCAGGTGCATCTTGGCGATAAACTTGCCGGAAACTCAAGTATTTCCTTTAACAGAGCAGGGTGAGTCATGCACCCTGCTATATATGAATCGTGCTGAATAGTACCTGCCAGATCCTTTCTCATTTACATCTACGACGTGCAGGGTCCAAATGGCCCTATAAGGAGACCGGAAGACATTGGGAAGTGGACAACAAACGCAACAAAAACATTCACTCTCACAGTACTGACAAACCCCACTTCCGCTGGAGCGATTCAAATACCGTACGCATTTCAGTCACATTATCTGTTCCCCCAATCACGAATATTCTTCTACAGCCCAACGATCAGTGCCGGCACTTTCCCCTCTAGTACTACAGCTTCCCCCACATCCTCGTATGTCTTTGCTAGACTCGCCGCAATCACCCGAAGCTGATGATAGATGGCATCATTTAAGAAACGTATCTTCACCAAAACCCAACATCTCTTTGATTGTTGGATGGAGCATTGCAGGCACAGCACTTCTAGGCATTGTAGTTGGGGTTAGTATTATTTTCTGGAGACGGAGGCACTCCCAGCAGAGGCGGGGTAGTCCTATCGGCATTCAATCAGATGCGAACCCAGCCCTATTGACGCCGTATCCTCCTCTCGGTGAGATATCGGTGGCAGAAAAACAGCTCCGAAGGAAAGAAGATGATCAATCTCGTGAACTTGGAGAAACGAGAGCCCCTGATATCGAAGAACAGAGGGAGGAGAGGAGGATTGTACGTCAAGAAGACAGTGACATGGCACTTTTGGCCACATCAACCAATCGGAGGAGTAGTATCGTTCATTTGCCTCCGTCATATTCTGAGGCGAACTTCGTCCGCTGATATAGTAGTACAGCGATCTGATCTGGTTATCATATCACAATATTCGGGAGGAAAAGATGGCAGTCCTGTCTGAAAGATGCACTCTGAACACCACTTGACATGCCCTCCAATCCTAATTGGAAAGCGATCCGCCTCCGTCAGTTCTTCACAAATCTCAGTGCTGCATTTGAGAATTCACTTTCGGGTTGAATCCGAGCCATAAGCACAATTCTACTAAAGCTTATTGCCTTAGTTTGAGTGAAAGTCTGAATCCTCGCGTTCGGCTCAAATCCCTCCGCCATCATTTGTACACAGGATGGCACCAGTGGCGTGGTGTTAGAAGCGTCATACAAGAGAGTAGGAAGGGGAGTGAAGTTGCGAGAGACCGGACAGTACCTGGTTCTTGTTCAATTGTTATCATTGCGTCGTCCTCTACTCCTCTCCATGCTCATGAATGTCGCTGGTGACCTGTACATATCGTCTGCATCCCCGGACCCGACTATACTCTTTCGTACGTAATCAGATCATTGAGGCTTGCCACGGTATGTCTTCGGGGTGTCCGTAGTCTTTGAATGCATATCTTCTCAGGCTGTCTTACGTCGTCCTTTTGCCACTTTGGCTTGTGTTCTCCGATACTAACATCTTTTCCAATAGGTTACCCCTCAAATTCCTCCCGAGATCGTAGCTCTCGACCCTAGGAGTCTTGAATGACCCAGCTATCTCGATAGAGAGTTGTGGACGGAGTATCAGGTGGCGTTGGTCCCAGAGGTTACTCAGGGGGTCCATTTCGATGCCTTGGGCTTGGCCCAGGGGACGGTGTTCTAATGTCGGACCTGTATGATACTCTTGAACTCCATTTCACTTCTTCCCGGACTTTGATGACCGTCATGATCATATTTTTTCTCTCTTCTTCTGTACTTCAAACCCTCTTCGTTCATTATAATTTGGTGGCTACGTCTCGTACTAATGTTAATCCAGACATTCTCTATAGACCGATGTTGATGTTTTTATCAGTCAAAACGCACGAAGCTCGCGCTGTCTCATTCATCATTGTCCAGAAACGAGTATTACTTGGGTCTTAAAGTGAATAATCTGACTCGAGGAATGAGATATGTACAGACGACAACTCGGAGAGTTGGTCCATGTGGGTCCAAAGCTCAAGACTGTTCCAGCGTATGACATCACTGAAAAATGCCAGTGGTGAATCCCTTGGGAAGGTGTGAATACATTTTTACTCCGGCTTCGAATATTCACTCCAAGATGACCTTCGGGAAGAGGGGTATTTCCCGGTAGACTAGGAGAGACAATAGGTCAGTTCCTATGCACTGTATTGGGTGACGCATATACCGTATATAGACCTTTTGTACCACGATAAAAAAATAAATAACTAACGAGAGAGTGTTCGATTTTTAACGAGAGAGCATAATTCGAAGTGAGCAAGTGTCCGAACGTTCAAGTCACAGAGCAAAGGAGGGCGACTAAAGAGTGAACCAGTAAAAGCTAATGAAAGTTGTGGTCGGATAAACTTAGAGGTCTCCAGAATCAAGAGCGTCGTAAGTTGGACAGAGGTTATCCCATGCGGCTAAGTAGAAAGATAGAAGAGAAAGGTAAGATTCCGTTCTTGTTATCACTGAATAACTATAAACTCACTTGGAGGCGCGGTCAAATTCGCCCACTCGTCTGTCCTCTCGGCAAACACAACTGCAAAACCACTAGAAGAAGTAGGATGGTAAGCTTACTCTCTGGTTGTTCGACGGTAATTGAACTAGTACTCACGCTTCGAGATGCCAGTCGATATGGCAATGCATGATCCAAGGGCCGGGGTTATCGGTTTGGAAACGAATGGTTACGTTGTCGCTGGCTCCCCCGAGACTGACCACATCGCGGCGAACCTGAAATACCGGGAGATGTAAGAGAGATGACTCGTCACAAACGTAACCTTGAGTAAATGCAGTTGGGGAACACATACCGGGTTTGCGTAGTTGTAGGCGCTGCTACCGGCAACGCGAACCACATCAAATTCGTGCTAAAATCAGAACATTGGTCAGCACAAGCGTAAAGTGACCTTATAGACGTACACCATGCAGATGAATAGGATGTTGAATACCAAGCAAACCACCGGTGAAAGACAACTCGACGGTAGAGTTTGCCGGAAGAGTAAACACCATCCCTTCAGGTAGCAAATCGGTGGCACTCTGTGCTCCGCTCAGAATTTGAAGCAGAACGGGGACAGTAGGAGGAGTAAAGCTCTGTCCGTTGAGTGTGAACAATCCTCCGCTCTGTTAATGACGAAGGGAGAGAGATTTATCAGACAGTTCAGTGAATGAATGTCAGCCAGACTCACGAATCCAAAGTCGAGGTGCATAGCGACATCAACTCCACCGATTGTGGGATCTCCAGGTGCTCCAGGGCTGGAGAGAGGCTGATTATAGCCACAAGGTTGTGAGTGGCGATAAACACAAAAATAGCACTCGCGAACTCACCTTGAGGTCGGTTTCGTTTAGAGGAGCTGCGGGTTCGAACTCTGTGGTAACCTCAGGCTCTTCTTCCGAAGCTCCGACATATCGCAAGATGGCTGAGTTTATGCCATTTACAAAGCCAGTTGAACCCGCGTTAGGGTTGGCCCGGATCCCTGAAAGACGGAGATATGTTCAGACTATTATGCTGTGTGTGTGATCGCAGTTCGTCCCACAACTTACAGTAATTTCCGACAGCTTGGTTGGCTTCCATCTGAAACCAGAATTAGAATTGTGCGAGAAATTTGTATCCTCTAAAAATACCCACCACGAGTGAATATCGTTGGCCAGCGAAGATGGTTACCGAATCCGCAGTCACTGGTTCGTGGTTGACGGAATCTGCTTCGATAACGGTACTAGAAACAAATTGCTGGGTAAACTCGACCAGATGGTAAAATATCTCAGGGATACTCACAAAGTATGATTTGAGATGTAGAACTCGTAGGCCGGATCGCAAGCAGCATTTACGACACGGAAGCGGTATCTATGGAGGGAAAGAACGTTGGTAACCTTTAGAATAGAAGTAGACCGGGAAATTGTACCTTTTCCCAGACTCAACGGTTATGACTGCCAACGACGAAGTTGCGTTGGCGTCGCTCCAGCGACCGAGGCCGTTGATGAGAGTAGATTGGGGTGTGCTGTACGATGGAGGAAATTAAGCCTCCAATACTTACGGATAAAGAGATCAAGAACCTACCCGAAGGCAATCTCCTTTGCCTTCGTGTGATACCAGTCCGCAAGGGTAATGACGGTGGACTCTGCGAGACAAGCATTTGAGTCGGCTGCTACCACGACAAAGGAAACAAAGTCTTGCCATCGTCAACGTCGTAGAGACTAGCATTAGGATCATCGGGGTCGTAAACAACGATAGGTCCCCTGAGACCATCACAGTACTGGGTTGCTAAGAAACACATCAGTACATCGTGTGAAAAGGCGAATAAGTTCTCAGCTCACAAAGATGAGAGTGGTACCAGAACGTTCCAGCCTGATCTTGAGCTTTGAAGTCGTAGAGAAAGCTGTCGCCTTTTGCAATCGGACATTGTGACACGAAGGCAACACCATCGGCCCAGGGACTATCTCTCTGGAAGAATCCGTGCCAGTGCTACCAGAATTGAGGGTATGAGCGAATTGAATTGGAACTCGAAAAGAAATACTTGCAATACTCGTAGACTGCAACATTGTGTCATCATCCAAGTTGTTGACGACGTTGAGCTGGAATTCGTCGCCCTGAGACATCGAAAATCAGTGATTCTTCTCGAATCCAGGATTAGGGGGCAAAGAGCTAACCTTGTTACCGACGATGAGTGGGCCAATAGTGCTATCACCGGCAACAACAGCGCCACGAGTGAAGCCATCTGGAGAAACATCCTTGTTGGTGATGACTAGGTCAGCTACAGGACCGATTGAGGCGAAGACTGGCGATGCCAGAATGCAAGATAGTGTAAAAAAGGAAGGGAAGAGACGAGACATTTCGCTTGTGAGGTGGGTTGGTTTGTTCTGGCAGGGAACTAGAGGTGAACTTTTATACTCGAGACACTGTAGGCGAAAATTTGTCTCACGCACAAAACTGTGAACTACGCTTGAAAAATAGGAGGACAACGAGCTCTAGGAGGAATTGAAATTATCTGTATGACAGGGCCGGGCCACGGACAACGAGAACCACCACAACAGGTATTTTCTGCGAGATATCCCTTAGAAACAGACTAAACCCAGTCGATGTGCATCAGTGCCTTGCGAAACATAAGGGTTCAGTGGACGGTCGCCTCTGATCTTTGCGAGCTCTCGCAAGCCGCAGTAACGATACGGTGTCCAATGAGAGGAGATAAATATAGATTGTGTAGATAACTGCTGTTGAATTCTATACCTTGCTCGCTGCGCACAGGAGAACAGCATGCAATAGAATTGACCTGCCACTCCTGTGATCCGTTCTTGTAGCGCAGCAGATTCTAGAATCAAAGCTCATATAATCAGTAGGCATCACACTCGAAACGGCTGAAGTATGAAGTTTGAAGTATGAAATGAATATAAAGGGAGATAACTTCTTTCCTATACAGTTTCCTACGAGCTCGGACGACTTGACGTCCGAGAGCACGGCCTGCGGTCAATGGTTAAAAATCGCAAAAGAAAACATCGTTGAGAGTTTGGACTTCAAACGGACCTCCTAGTCCGTCTATCCGAGCCTCCAAGGCAAAATCCATAAGTGTATCGGTGGAAATTTGTGGCCACTTGCGGGACTCGAAAAGTACAGCCGTTGCGATACATCGTGCAACTTGAAAGAAAGCTTGTGTCACTACCGGCATCAATTCAAAAGTATGAGCCGACACTCGGGCCGAGTACAACCTCACGAGTCCGTGGAAGAACCTCCGAAGTCTCGGAATCCAAGGAGTCTCGTCCAAAGGCAAAGCGTTCGACCTCTCTACCTCTTACATACCCCAACTTTCAACATTCTCTAGCCACTATTTTGATTTTTATTGTCTTGTTACCTTATCTGTTATACCTACCCGCCACCCGTGTGCCCCAAAGAGCGAATAAAAAGATCTCTCAGCGGAACCGTTGCATCAAGAGGGAATCGAACCCCCGGCGGGTCGACGCGTCCAGTCAGCTACGCGAAACGCATGGCAACGACCCAGGTTACCACTACCCCATTGATGCTCAGTGGTAAAGCGGCAAATCAACTCTCACGATCCCATCAAGGGGGCCTTGATTTGCAGTGGTCTCGGTATTCCTGCTGAACCGAAAACTGCTGAAGCATATCGAGGGGCTGATTGACCGCCCCTCAAGATGGTCTGTGCGTTTAACTTCTCCACTTCGATTGCGGTTGGGAAGATGGGGTTCTCCCTTTCTTTTTTTCCCCACCCCAACTTTCATAGGCTCTCGGAGATATGGGATATCTCTCGATAGCAGGATTTTTGCTCGCACAGCAATCATTAGTCAAGTGGAAATGGTGGTTTTGACGTTGAGTTGAGGTGCGTCTTTGGCCTCTCGACATTCCTTTTATTCTCGACACTGACTGACGTATAGCCTCGACCGGTGCATCCAAAGACGGCGACAGTTCGAGGGAGAGAAAATCAGCTACTGAGTTGGATCTCAGAAAGCTCTTGCTCGCCGAAGAGAACCGATACGGACTGATACTTCCGCGTTGTTCCTGAAGTTTACACTTACCATGCTCTCGCCATGATCATCCGTGCGTCTTTGATCTCTTCAGTTTAGTCCTTGCTCTAAATTATTGATAAGCTTAGTACTCTCCACCTCGCTACGGGTGCATGTCTCCCAGTCAATGGAGAGACGACGGCGAGCGAACGCTTAAGGTACACATTGGGTGGACAATATCGGTCATCTCCTCCTCGTTTCTCGAAAATCCTTAGCTCCCTTCAGCAAACCTCCGCACGCTTTCCCAAGGTACCATCCGACTCAATCTTATCCCGGATTACCGTTTCATTATAGCCTACTCATGCCTTTGGTTTCCTCCGTTTTCTCGAAACACTGGACCCTGTGTACCGGTTCGTTCCACATGTCGCCTTATCCACCCTGTCCATCTTGAACTAGTCACCCTTCCTCTGCCTCTATTCGAGTTATTGACCTGTCCCACGTTTCCGTGTTTACCAGTCGTTCCTCATCTGTACACCCCCGCTCATGGTTGTCTGTTTGGTTGGATCGAAGAAGGTTCTATTGATTGCAATCCGAGCTGACTTACTACTAGTACTGCTCCTGCCCATCAATCCATACCGTAACTGGCCACGCGAGTCTACAGTGGACAGTCGAAATTCATCATTCCTTCCGCGTGATCGTTCATAAGCCAGAGGAACCCCAGGACCCCCGATAGTGGGAGAGAAGGTCGGGTACTTCCACCTATAACTCCTCTAGGCACTCCAGAACACTTTTCCCGGTCAAAATTGATGGTGTTCAGGCCAGTCAAAGCCGTCGAACTGTTTTTCCTGTTTTCCAAAATCAAATCTCTTCTCCTCAAACGAGAATCCTTGAAAGAAGTGAAAGATCGTGCACCTACTACCCTAGTCTCGTTTAACCAGACTGACGATATCTACCTGACGACTTCGATGTAGGTAGATATGTACTACTACCACGAGTTAGAATTCATTTTGTATCCGACCTCCTCTCCCACTATCGGGGGTCCTGGAACCCCTCGTTCCGCGCTCCCGAACGAACCCTCTCTGGTACTTACTTTCGCCGTCGGAGTCGCTACCGCCAAGCCTTCTGACCAGCCGTTTGCTGCTCATGCAATTCGTTCGAAGAACAGTGTAATGCCACCTAGTTTTACCTCTATGATTCCATCTCCCTTACGTTCCATGACCTCATGCTACTGTTTTGACATCACGTTCCTTCGACACTGATGTTGTTTATGCACCCTTCTTCCAGATTATTCGTCAATTATACATTATTTTCCTCATACTCTACTCTGGTAGCCGTATCATACCTATGCGTATGCCCTACTCATTCGTATTCAGAGTATCGACTACTGAGAATTGGTATACATTCTCTTCGACCTTGGGTAGGGATAGGATCCGTAAGAGCCCACTTCTCGGGGTATCAGGCGGGAATCCGTGAATACAAACAGTAAAGACTTGATCATACAGCCTAGTTCCGTGCCAGGGTATCGAATCCTGCCACCTGGGCTACGCGACTCACACAATAGTGGCATATGAGAGGCGATAATGTTAGCCAATACACCATAACGGACTCCGTCCTATCCGAGGGAAAGTGCAGGCTATATTCGGTGGTATGCGTGAGTCTGAATCTCGCATCACTTGTGGTCTAATCGTCTGGAGTGCGGCGAGGTATATGTTAGTTCCCGGTGTAGTTGTCAAAGTGTTTATTATTTAAGGCGAAGGATCCAACTCGGCGTTGAAAAAAGCGGTAGCTCCTCGGTCAATCATTCGACCCAGGCTCGAATTGGGGACCTTCTGTGCAAACATTGTTCACGGAGTCATGATTTGACTATGTTAGACAGATGCGATAACCAATTACGCCATCGAACCAGCTATGCAGATGAGTGGAACGAGAGTGAAGATGTACAAGCTTTCAGAGCTCATGTTCTCCCGTCCGGTCACGAGTCAAGGATATGATCTCTAATTCAGCTTTTTTCGGATTTGGTGTGTCCTCTTTGTACTCTTGTCAAAAAGTCCAGGATGCGGTAGTATTTCCAATAGGCCAAGTATCGAGCATGGCTTCGCTTGTTTCTGTGTGAGGGTCGAACGTTGATGCCACAGGATCATACCGGTCAATAGACATACAATGCAGGACATGGCGGAACTCAAAAAAAATTGCATCAAGAGGGAATCGAACCCCCGGCGGGTCGAAACACTCGATCTGATCGACGACAAATGGCAACGACCCAGGTTACCACTACCCCATTGATGCTGGTGCTTAAACCGACCAATAAAATCGTATGACACGATGTCGTTTGACCCCCCGGCGGCGTCTTCGGTGTTGTGCGAGATAATCGCTGTCCAGCCTCAGCATGGTTGACTATCCTCTGAGTGAGAGTTTGGGGGCTGGGCTTTGGCTCATCAATGGTTCTGAGTGACGATGTGTTCGATTTCTTTTCTTCAAACCATCACAACACCCGCGACTCGTGGGTACCGGTGAGTGCAAGAGCAATTCGTTCTGACTATGTAAGTGTTTCTGTTAAGCTTAAGTAAGGCTTAGGTTGATTGGATACGTTAAGACGCTCGTGTCGCACGATAGCTCGTTCAAGGAGACAGAATAAATCTCTCCAGCTTGATAGTGAGCACACGTAAGACGTTCACTTCTCGACAACAAGGTCAGGGTTATCAATGAAGGCAAATGAAATCTGGGAGATTGGGCTGATCAATCCTAGAAACTGCGGATTCTGCATCTGAGTATGTTCATGAACTTGCCGGACTCGGGAGCCCCTTTCTCTATACGTTACCTAGTATTTGCGCCACATCGTCGCGATTCCTACAGTTACAGTACAATTCTACGAACGTCTTTTGTTACTTCTGCAGAACTTGGTCAGTCAACCATTTATTGCTGATCTATACGAGACCATACGGATGATCGAGAGACCAAATGGACGGAAATTGGTGCTCAAGATCGTCAACCCTCTCAAGCTAAGCTTCAGTTGAAGATGCGTTAGGTAAGAGATCCAAGATAACTCTTGTAGCTGGACTTCGGATATCATTCTCACTAGTCCTGACGAGAGGTGAATTTTTGAAGCAACTAGGGGATGAGGAACATCCGAATCACTGTTTAGTCGGGCAACTTTCATCCGGAA